AGCTTAGATACTGAAAATTGTATTTTAAAAATAAGTATCCAGCATGATGAAGCCGATCGGATGGCGTGTACAATATGTTCGCGTATTTTATGCACAGGTCATGAATATTATATTTAATTGTAAATACTTATTTTCAAATCATAAAAGTTGTGGTTTATTTTTGAAGATCATATTTGTTTATATACAGCACAAGTCGTAAGTAATATCTTAAGCTCCAGATCCGCATCTAATCCTAATGCCAGCTGACTTCGCCAACTGGCCACAGGTGTAAATGATTAGAGATGTCGTTATCTGTAGCATAACAGTGCGTTCAGCAATCTAAGAGATACTGAAAACTGGTTGCCTTAGTAAAATGTGCTCGTAATTTGCATAGTTGAAAACTGAAAGAACGCAGGCACAACACTTGACACATTTCCCGGGGCTAGCTAAAGAGACTCGGGCACAGACTATATGGGAAAATGGACTTGGATGATGACGAAGTGCAGCAGTCTCCAATAGATGACCCAATTATCGCAGGGTGCTTCCACGAGAAAAGGGCGAGTGAGAATGACATCAATCATTGCACTATGAGACAGCTTGGTGTTAGACAGCATTTGCCATGTGGGTCAATAAGAAATGACTTGGCAGCTTTTCTTGTAAAAGTCAAATGGTATTTTAAAGGCTTTTCACGGGGGCCGCAGCTATGACGAGCCCACATTCAACAGATCCACGTTGCGGTAGCGAATGCCAACCAAGTGACAATCGATTAAGGTCAGCCGACTGCGCTTTTCCAATGCATGTCAGTGCTGGGAATGGCAATGGGTCGCACAAGCTGGCCAAGATTCGCTTTGAGCTAGTGCCCAGACACTGGCGCCCCAGCCCACTCCAAATGGCCGCCAAGCGTGGCTGCTCACGCTTGGGCGAATCAGTGGATCAACAGGGAGAAGCTAACACAAGTCGAGCGATTTGCATGACCGGATCAGTGGATCAATTGCTGGGTGCGTGAGCTGCTTCCAAACGGAATATGAAAGAGAAAGAACAAAACTGGAGCACTTCAATCTCTCAACAAGCGGCTGCACTCATGCTGCACTTTGGGAGCAAGTTGCAGTTTTAGAAAACCAAAGGCACACTAAACCACTTGATCATTTGACCATGCAATTTGCATATTATTCAAGCAACAGGAAAATAGTGCAGATTTCCATTTCTCTATACTCCAATCGGGATTACTGAGTAGACGTTGGCGAAATCTGGACTATTCGAAAATCTTGAGCATTTCATGTATTTAATCGCCAACAAAATGTAAAGGATTTGTTTTAATTCACTTTATCAACGAATCACATGAATGCTTCGAATGGAAATAAGCTCACATGCAAAATACAAGTTAAGGCCGATTTAATTCTTCATCGAAGAGGCCTACATTTTGCGAGAAGCTTAAATCCCCGAAATTTCATCCAATCAACTTTTAACCAGCATTTACCATCCAAGAAGAGTAGATATTGCGAAAGGATCGACATGACCCCTGTTTGATCACATAGCTTATTTGCATATTACTAGAAATAGTAATGTATTCTTAATAAAAAATAATATAATAGGTCGAAATTTCCCACCCCCACAACTCGTTCAAAGCTTGCCATTTATCCGTACTCTTATTATCCCATCATATAGCTCTCATAAGCCCGATCGAAACCGCCTCAACTTGGTATTGATGAGCCTTGGAGCAAATTTGATCAAAAACGCACTTCTAATTTATGTCATTGAAAATTTGTCTGTTTTCTTAGACATCTTGAGCAAGCTCAGTAGCAGCGACATATGTCTATAAGAGTATTCAAACTTTGTCATGCCGAACATAGCGATACTCTCTCGAAAGGGTGCAGGGTATGCGAATGCATTGCCTATCATTAGAAGTGCGTAAATGAAGAAGCCACTTTCGAAGCGTGAAAAACTTAAAATATTAAGTTTTCGTATGGGTTATTTATGGCCATGGGATAATAAATGGATGTCTGTGGCGCATTTGCAACACAGTTTATTTGGCTTAGACAGCAAGTGTTAGCTGGTTGTTGGCAGTGCTCGTAAGTTAAGTGTGCCACGTTGGCAAGTTGCCAAGCTAGCGATCTATTAGAAGATATTGCTAAAAGCCCAGTGAGCACTTGAAGTCTCAGCCCAGCTAGCCAAATCCGTAGCCCCTTCCCTTCACTAAGCACTGCCGTAGTTCCTAACTGGAAAACAGTCGGCCTAATGACACTCGTCTCCAGATGCTGCTCGGTGTTAATTTGCGGTCATTAGCCAAGTTCTTTTTTCACAGTTTGCACGCAGTCGGCGCTCAAGGAAGCTGCAAACTGTTGAAGGTATGAAGAGAAGCTGGGGACACTCCAGGCTCAATCAATTTGTGTCTGTTTCACGACACATGCATTATTCTTGACTCAGTGGAGGTAAAAGGCTTTCCAAAGCCTTTGTGGTCTGCTGCCAGCTCGGCTCACAATAGGCCTTTGTGAACGGTTAAATTGCACTTGATGCTGCCTTTTGGGCTAATGATGCGCACGCAACAGGCACAAGGCACAAGTGAAGAGCGGGTGAAAACGAGGTGCCAAGTAAAAATGCTAATTCATTTACACTTTGACCAGCGACAATTGATTTATTGATGCGGAAATACAACCGATTAGGGTCCACAATAAATAACGACAGACCCGTGGACACACACACAAAAGTAAGTGAGAGCAATGCCAAATATGGGTCACGGATATGTCGGAACTCTGTTTGGGTCAGCATCCCAGCCAGCACCTGTACAGGTGCAGTCACATTGAGCTATTCGTGTGTTAAATAACGCTTTGTTGGCAGCCACGCCCTGTCTTGGGGGAGCTGGTTAGCATGGCTAACCCAGATTTCAATTGCAAGTCTCGAAAAGAGGCGTGCGAATCGCAGGTCGCTGCCTACAATGGCAAACACCTGCCGAGCTGGCCAACAAATTTCACTTATTGCCAATTTGCTGCCAATGAAATAAAATACTTTGTATGCGCACTTTGCCGATAGCCAACCTCAACCTGATCCAAGGCCTGCACCGGACTCGAGCCAGAAGACTCGAACAGCAGCCGGTCTGGCTGTGCAATAAATAAATTGCAGAATTTATTTGGCAGCACTTATGCGTCGCTTTTTTCATCGAATGCATTTTCTACTGTGATTTATTTGCATGACCATTAAGCCCGAAAGGGGCATCCGAAATGAGGGGCAGCCTCCTATGCAACAATTATTCTGGACTATCAACGGTTAGAGATGGGTGCTAGGTACGATTGTTACTAACTTCAAGTGAATGTCGGAATGTCCTGCCAGCTTTAGATGATATTCCCGCCCTTAGACAGGCTGAATGTTTAGTCATAATTGTTACTTACTAGATAATCATAGAGTTATAGTTATTGGACATAGTTCATAAGGTATGTTAAAGTTTTCAGAAGAAGTATTACGTACTTACCTGAATTAAGAGTTGGACTCCTCGCTTCATCTACGTATTCGCTGACAAGAAGCAGAACCGTGACACAGAGCTTCGATGTTTGCCATCGCTGGCACTTGGCAACAGTTGTGGCTGCTTCCAGCTGTTTTTCCGCGAATCTCTCCATTTGACTGCATGGCGTCGGCCTTTCAGGCATTTTCAATTGATTTTTCTATTTATCAAACAGGAAGCATCTTTAGGATGCACTAAACGCAGAACTTGTTCCCACTGAAGTTGTAGATTAAGTTGGCGGTGCGCGCGCTGAGTCTTTATTTAACGGCACTAAGAGTTGCCGCACTTCGATCGTTCGAGTTATTATTCAAATTTTTCGGTCTACCATAATCAAGGTGTTTCAGTTCAGCTAATTTGTGCAATAGAAATTCCAAACCAAACTTTCGATTTATTCCTAACACAGCCGAGACATTGGGAAATTACAAAGATATATAATATAATTGTAAGACTAGTTCACGTGGTAAGGGACTTACAGATTAGCAAACCAATATCGCTAAGGCAAATCCTTATCGCTTCGATCCAGAATATATACAATTAAAGCAGTCGGAGAGGATTGCGTTATAACTCAGTAAACTGTTGGGAACAAAATGCACTTTATTTACAAAACTACATTTTTGAGGGAAGGTGAATTAGCTTAATATTCTCCATTGGGTTTGTGTCTTAGCTTGAGCTTTTCACAATCCAACTCACGCGAGCAAATAATGCGCGCACAATATAAGCAAGCGCAATACTCAACGAACCTGTGCGCGGGCAATTTTATAGCCAACGCCTAAAAGCCTACTACGAAAAAAAACAATTGTGGTTTTAGAGGCAAATATTCGCTAATCTGTATAAAGAATTAAATTTATTTTAACAAATAATTACTTAACATAAAACAAATAAATAAGCTTGTGAGGAACTGATTGATAGACAAGTCCAGACAAAGTTACTGTTATTATAAACTTCTGGAATAAGCGCAGCCAATATATGCTTGGTTCATGCCTTCAGCCCGATCTACCAAGTGACCGTTTACCCCACCTCAAAAACTGTTGCATATATCTTTAATCGTTTATTTGCGATAGTAAACTAGACTCTAGCTGCATTTATAGAACAAAGTGTTAACAGAAAGTATAACCAATTATTGGTCTATTCGTTCAATCAGACCAAGGAGGCAAACTAACATGAGCTCATCTGGAAACTACATCAAGGCAAACCAAAAAGTCAAACGGACATTCACTTTGAGTCGGGCATCTAACAATTCAAATATTTTTAAGATATCCCTTTCATAGCCTCTACTCCTTATTCAGATCGCTTGCTTTGAAATGCAAGTCTTGATTGATAATACTTATTATTACTATATAGCAATATACATTTGTTTTGAATTATAAATGCGACCAGAATCAAAATAATTGACACAACAAAGAAAAGATAAGCTGTTTAATTAAATAGATAAAAAGCAAAAGAAAATTTGAACTAGGTTACGCGTTATGCACAATTCGAACAATTCGAAAGCTCAGTAATTAAATAGAAGACGTAACGTTCAGTAAATATGTTCGATTTGACGGGCAAACACGTCTGCTATGTGGCCGATTGTGGAGGTATTACCTTAGAGGCTTGCAAAGTGCTGATGAGCAAAAATATTGCAGTAAGTATTTGCGTAGCAGACATGAATTGCAAAATGACTCAAAAGAGAGCCTTGCTCGAGCTTTACATGTTCGACTGTGCAAGAAGCACTTCACTCTTGGAGATTCTAAGAGTTGGGCATAGATCTACACACAATCAAGTATAATAATATTTGGCACTTCCTCCCATCCCACTTAGAAACTTGCCATTCTTCATAGCGTGGAGAATCCGCAGGCTATTGCTCAACTGCAATCTATTAAGCACAGCACGCAAATCTTTTTCTGGACCTATGATGTAACAATGGCAAGGGAGGATATGAAGCAATACTTTGACGAAGTCATGGTGCAAATGGACTACATCGACGTGCTCATCAATGGGGCAACCCTGTGCGATGAGCAGGACATTGATGCAACAGTTAATACAAATCTAACCGGAATGATGAACACTTGCGCCACGGTGCTGCCATATATGGACAAAAAGCAGCTGGGCAAGGGCGGAATAATTGTAAATGTGACTTCAGTCGTCGGGCTGGACCCATCCCCAGTATTCTGTGCGTACAGCGCATCAAAATTTGGTGTTATAGGATTCACTAGAAGTTTAGCGGCAAGTTAAATTTGGCATTATCTTTAAGTATTTGCAAGTTGAGTTAAATCATTTTCCTCAAAGGATCCGCTGTACTACTCCCAAAATGGGGTCGCTGTCATGGCGGTTTGCTGTGGACCCACCAAACTCTTCGTGGATCGTGAGCTCACCGCCTTCCTCAGCTATGGACAATCCTTTGCCGACCGCCTACGTAGCGCTCCTTGCCAGTCGACGACTATCTGTGCTAAGAACATTGTCAAGGCGATTGAGTGCGGTAAAAATGGACAGATTTGGATAGCCGACAAGGGAGGACTGGAGCTCGTCAAATTGCACTGGTATTGGCACATGGCCGACCAACTGCTCCATTATATGCAGAGACCCAACGAGGAGAAGGAGGACGAAAACGATTAGATGACTAAACACAACATTTCAGTCATAAATATTCTTAAATTATGTCACTCATCTAAGACTTCCTCACCATTTTATAAGCACGTAAACATGCACCACAATTTCGCTCAACAACATAAAACCTTTTTAAACCTTTTTTAATGAAATATATTAATCGGGTATTTTATTACTTTAAAATTAAAATAATTCTCCTTTGTTTACAAGTAATTTGAGTTGAGTCTGACTTTAATCTCTAGATTAATATATAAAAGTAAAAGTGAAAGTAAATTAATTGATGGTGGGATGGTGGGTGTCTGAGTTAAAAACGTTTCGCTGGTTTGTGTCTCTGATTTAGCTGTCAACAACACGTTCGCAGCCAACTTCACGTGTGGGAAATTCAGACAATGTGCTACTCATGTTTGGACGAAAGCGCAAAATTGAACTCCCGGGGCGCACATTTTTGACTCACTTGAAGTTGGCTGCGCACAGATATTTGAATCGCGTACCGCGATTTGAATATTACGTTTATTTTGTTTCTCTAACGTTTATTATATGAAAAGGCAAATGGTTTTTTAAATACAGATCAAATTAAATGTGGGAAATTTTAATTGATGCAGATTATTCACGTAGAATTATTGCAACGAAGTAAACTAATATGAAAATCTCATAAAACCTTTCCATCAATCTTTAATTCTTTCGGAAGAAATTTTGTGGAAGATTTGTTTACGGGCTTGTACTATGTGGAAAAGTAATGCTGACGATGGCAAGACCGTCTAACATCCCCTATGTATTTTCTTTCACATCAAAGAACTTTTTCTGCCCTTTTAGAGGATATCTACGACCCCATTAAGTATATATATTTTAGATAAGCATTAACAGCTCTGTTGATATAGCCATGTCCGCCTCTCAGTCTGTTTCTATGTGAACTAGTCCCTGAGTACACATATATCGGAGCCGGCCATACTAATATATCATATAGCTGCCATAGGAACGATCGGTCGAAAGGTAGGTAATTATAAGAAACCCTCTTTGTTTATCAAGAACATAAATAATATTTTAAGCAGCTTTCATCCTTAAGCTAATTTTTCGATTAGAAGCTTTCAGTTTTTCATGCTAGCAATTAATAACTGATCAGATGTATCCCATCTCAGTGTCCACTCATCATCTATTTACAACAGACTCTGCCACAACACTCGACTATCATTCCATTCAATTAAGATGGGTGGCTTTCCTTCTGCCTGTCCGCATTTACGTTTTGTCTGACGTTGACATTGATGCGGCTGTTGCTGTGAGTCGCTGTTGGAAGAGCCAGTCGCCATGTATGATGGATTCTAGCGGCCTCGAGCTCGCCATTCGCGAGTCTTTCCTTGTCTGGGGCGCAAAAAAGCAAATAGCTAAAATGATTAACGAGCTTTCAAGTGACTTGCTGCAAGACGAGACTTCGCAGCAAGGATCAAATCTGCTGGAGAGTTGCTGCCATTTAAAATAGTCGGCGACCCGGCCAACAAATTAGTCTTAGCTAAAAAGGACTCAGGCAGATTCCGTCTTGCATCCCAACCTAATCGACGTTCTAAGTATATGTGTGTGGGCATCGGAATTAATGATTTAAATGGCCTAATAGATGGAAGATGGCCAACCCAGCTCGACAGTTGTCAAGACATTAGCCAGCACTCGCTGTGCCCATTTTCACCTGCAGCTGCAGCCATTTTTCAACACTAATGCGAGTGGGCCAGGGGTGACGTGGGGCACATCCGTTAATTGCAGGCAAACGTCAAAAGTCGTCGTCTGTCAGCTGTGCCAGGCCAAAGCTTTGGCGTGCCCGTCAGTAGCTGTCAAGTTTCATATATATACGAGTATATATATGTACATCAGCAGCAGCCGGCTTGGCATGGTCAGGGTCGATAGTTGTTGCTCTTCTACAGTATTTGCTGTTGCTGTTGTTGGTGCTGTTGCTGTTGCTGTAGCTACCCACTTTTGCCAACAACAAAGATTGATGGGTGTTGTACAGCGGCGGCAGGCAAAACGGAGAATAAATGATGTTGGTGATTATTTTTCTTCATTGAACTCGAAGCTGGGCAGCCATCAGACACTGCTGTTGCTGGCACTTTCTCTCTCATTCTCATTTTCTCTTTCCCACTCCTCTCTCTCTCTCTCTCTCTCTCTGAGGATGTATCAACAGCCATTTTGACTATCAATCTCGGGAGCGCAGAGCAGGCATCAGCAAGCGAACGGCTGGCACATCCCGTGGCTCTTTCGTTCCTTCATTCATTCTTTCGTTCATACGCAACACATTTCGACAATTTATCAACTTGGCTGGCATTCAGTTCAAGAGGTGTGCAAGAATCTGTGTTGTGGGCTCAGTGTGCAAATCAACTATGCTCTGCCTCACAATGCGCTTCATTTACAATTGCAGCCAGCATACGCCTGAAAGCCTTAGTGGGGAGTACAGGACTATGAAATACCGTCAAACCGAACTGTGATAACTCGCATACGTGTTATTTATTCGGGCATTTTAAGGTTTACTTAATGTATTGTCTTACATAAATCGATATAAAACCATTTACTTATACACTCCATGTTGAATAAATAATGGGATACATTTCAATCAAAGGAATCAACTTTGAACAAATTCAAAGGAACCTTACAATTATAACAATTTTTCTATCCACACATAAACTGACTTATTTCTCCCAATTTACAATCCTCGGAAGATGAGTTGCTGCGTCATAAAGACACCTACATCAACGAGGATCCTTATTCAAATCGCAAACTAGTTTATGGATGTATTAGTCTTAGGTCACGATCCAGATGTAAGGATATGAGACCGATAAAAAGTCAGATCAACGGATAGAAATGAAAATGATTTTGAAGGCGATGGTAAGCAATATTCTTTCATACTTTGCCTAATAAACCACTGTTTTGGGTGTTCTTATGCAGAGCTTTAAAAATCGCATTACTTCCGAGGAGGCTTGGATTCTGTGAAAAGTGTGAAATACTTCCCAAATGATTTTGGAAATGAAATTGAGCGCGAAATGTCACCCATCAAATCTTTGACCCCCATTTCCACCAGGGAGGAATACATTTTTGGAATAGGGCGAAACACCCTTCACATGAAATTTGACAAAGATCTTCAAAAATGTTTTTGAGCCCGATCGGATGGTAAACAAAAAAGTTTCATACAAACGTTTTTCGGAATCCACACATACGGGTGGAATTTCCCGACTAGAGAATGCTTTATATATGTATGTAGTTTTTTAATTTAAATATAAGCTAGAGAACTTTTAGAGGAAAACTTATATAGACATACACATATACTTTCAACTGGGTGGAAAATAAGGGCTAAATGTCCAAGAAAGTTTAATTGAGACTTCGGGAAAACCATTGTGCTTATTTCCTGTATGTAACGAAAATTGTTCAAGCAGCGTAATTAAAGTTGTGAGAATATATACGAAAGGCAAAAGAATCGTCTCCAACTGCATGTATTTCCATTTTCTTTTGTTTTTGGATTCTTACTAAAAGATTTCAGTGTGTTCGAGTATTTTTTCACAGTTGCATTTGGTTCCATTTCCGAATTTTGGGAAAACCAACGTACATATTTTCTGGTACTCTCGACCCCTTTTGCTTCTCTCCGTCCACAAAACATCCTATTCGAAAGAAGTGCAATATTATCAATTACTCAACAATTTAGCACCACGTACTAGGACTGTGGCTGGATTTGGCAGTGGGGTCGTGGGCTCGTGGAGGGGCAGAGAGTACGACAGAATGAAATGCCCGGATGCAAACAATAAAATACATTTTCCGGTTACTTGTCACCCACTTTTCTAACGTTTCACTCTCGCTCCCCGGTTGTCGGTAGAGAGGAAAATCGCCACCAAAGCTGACACATGCTGTTCTACAGCCGACAGACAAGGGCCAAGACCCAAAGTTCTGGCAACTCCTTAGCAATTGCCAACGCAGCATTTCACTTTTGGCCAGCTGTTGTTGTTTATTTTACGGTTCTACATTTTGCTGCTGTTGCTGTTGTTGTTGTTGTAGTCCAAAGTCATGTCGACAATGGCTTTAGCTTTGCTTTTGACACTTGGTAAATGGCGCCGCCCGTTGAGCTCGGTCGCTGCATCCAACAGTTGCCCAACTGGGCGTGGCCAAGCAACTAGAGGCGAGTGAAGAAGACGCTGGTTCCTCTGCTCCTGCTTTTGATTTTGGACAACGACTTGTTTACCGCTGCACTTACGCGTCACACTTGAAAAGTTCCGGACTCTTTTCTTCTCTGCCTAGCCAGAATGCGGTCTCTTGCCTCCTGCCCTTTTTGCCACCCGAATAGAAGTTGTGCCAAAGTGCAGATTGCACCAACTTTTGGCAAACGGGAGAGTACATTTGGGCCCAGTTCTTGGCTATCTCCAGAGGCGAGCTGTTTTTTGTCATGTTTGAAAAAATCATTTATCAAGCAGCTTGACGGAAGATTCGATGTCCTTGCTTTTGTAGAGTGTGTCAAGTGTCGATGCCAATCTATGACAGCAGGTTGACTGAAGACGTTGTGAGCATGAGAAGACATCTTTGACCTCATAAAGTATATATATTCTTGATCAGTATCAACAGCCGAGTTGATATAGCCATTTACGTGCCGAAGATAGCACTTCTCTCTTGTTTTTTTAACATATGAACAGAGTTATCTAATTTGCCAAGCTTGATGGAGTCCTCCAGCCGTATATGTCGTAGCTGGTCGGATCGGACCAGTATATCATATCGCTGTCATAGAAACAATTAATCGGAAAGTATGCAAAACTTTTTTATGTACATATGCCTAAACCTAACAACATCGAACCACTATTTTATATAGCTGTTATAGGAACCGTCGGCTGTTTCTTTGCAAAATATTCTGTTTTCCAAGATATTACGAGCTTCACTTTTCTCACATATACTCATAAGACAAATGTTTAATAGGGTATTAAATGCTCGGCGTGCTTGACATATTTTATTAAAGTGTACAAGAAACATCCGGGTATATCAAATCCAGTTATAAGTTG